ATTTTGTTGTACTGTTTCCATACTGCAGGTGTACTTCACACATTTGTGCTATAAAACCTTCTGGACCCTGGAACATCATTTTATAGAAAAGTTTTCCTGAAAGTTATTTGATTATCTCTAAATCAATTCTCTGATATCCTGTCTTGCATTCCCGAGTTCATTTCAGCATTAGTTTCGATAAAAATCAATGAGATGTTTTTATTTAGTAAAAAACATATTTTTTAATTCTCTTTACAAACAACGATTTTTAAATTGTAATGTTTAATAAACTAGTTTTAATAATAAAATTTAATTCACCTTTAGCAATACACACGTTTAAAGTTATTTAACAACTTTACAAAGCAAAGAAATTGGAATGGATATGTCCAGGGATCATATCCCTTTTAGGCTGAAAGGGACTGACACAATTCATAACGAGGGATTGTGTAAATTCCGCTCTAATATATTCTATTCTCTTTGATTGTACATGTGTGTAGATCTGTGTACGCCGAGAGAGGTTGTACTGTACAATAACCTGGACTGCTCCAACCTTCAGCTGGTCTGGGAAAACAGGAGTTCTTTCTCCCGCTCTGCTTGTGGGAGATGCAGTAAGTCATAGATTAGTTAACAATAACAGATAGAACACTGATGTCACTTTTTCTGCAAGAGAGAGAGCCTGTTCTGCCTCAAGGTTATTGTGAACGAAAAACACCTAAATCTATGCACTAAGAAGTCACTCCTCTAAATACAGGGTTACCCACAAAAAATGAGACGACCATTTAGCATTTAAAGAGTTTCAGGTCGTCTTTACAGTTTCATCCTGTGTGGGTAACCTTGTACAATTTTAACTTGGGGGGAGGGGGGTTGTTTTTATCCAATAAACTTCAAAACGACAGAACTTGAACTCCCCGGCATGGATGGGCCTAGTTTTTACATGAAACGTGCTCAACGAGAATATTAGATGTTATTTTTCTCTGATCAAAGATCTTAACCAAAACGATTCTTCAAAAAAAAAAAATTTCCAAAACGATATTACTGATAATTTTGAAAAATCGTTTTGGTTTTTTTATAAGGCTAAAAGTTTTGCATAATAAAATAAAAGAAAACTTGTCAAGCATCTTTAAGTCTAAAAATGTTTAAAATCAAGCCTCAAAATGATGCCGTCAGTGTTTACAGGATCCAAGCTAAATGGGTTATTTGGAAAATAAAATGTTTTGCTGATAAAAATTAGCTCATATCTATCAATGTAAACAGAAAATCCCCGAAATATTTTGCATCATGATGCATGTCGAAGAAAAAATAGTGGCTTTTTATGGTTTATGGTTTATGGTTTATGGTTTATGGTTTATGGTTTATGGTTTATGGTTTATGGTTTATGGTTTATGGTTTATGGTTTATGGTTTACGGTTTATGGTGTATGGTGTATGGTTTATATGGTTTATGGTTTATGTAAAAATCTGTTTTTACAAAATTAAAAATTGTTTATTCTAAACATTTGCATTTTTTGCACTATGCCAAATTTTGCAAATTTTTACAAAATACAGTTTTCAAAGTTCAAGGTATTCGTATGGTGCCTAATGCCTATTTAAGGTCCATAAAGCTCAAAAACTAACCAAAAAACCAATGTGCGCACTGCGTAATATTGATAACGAAAAACCCCTTTATTTTGTTTAGGTGCATTCTAATGGAAATGAAGTAACTGCTGAAACTGGAGTGTCTGGGTTCTCTCTCTCCTATACACAAACATTATGCTGAGCTCACAGTCCCATTAAAGGGACTGTAAGCGTAATTTCAAGTGACCCTCTATGCAAAAATTACAATGTCCGATTTACAACGGTACCCTTGAAACCTAAACCTTATGTAAAATGTAGAAGAAACTGTCGGTTATCTGACTCGATAAGTGCTTTATTTCTGGAAGTTTCACCGTTTCTTTTTGTTCTTAGAAACAAGAAATGCGCAAGTTACTTTCGCAGAGAGACTGTAAATGAAAATATGAAAAAAACTTTAATAGCTAATTCATACTTGACCAGAAAGGTACTGTTGTAAATCAGACATTGCCATCTTTGCAAGGAGGGTCACTTGAAATTACGCGTACAGTCCTTTTTAAAGGAATTGAGTTTTTGTCACAAACTCTGTTTTTGCAACCCAATTTGTAGACCTTATAGAAATTTCAAACTATGAATTCTGTTAGGGTAAAATATTAAAGGTTTTAACCGCTAGGTTGAAATGATGATTAGAAAATTTGAGCATTTGGAATAATACCCATTTTCTTTATCTTTTTGTTAAAATAAATTTACATTTTACAACATGTTTGTTTCCAAAGTTTTTTTATGATCGGATACTAAACTTTTCAGCGGTCAACCTAATTTCAAGTGAACCCACAGTCCACATATAAATAATTACGCTCGTGCACCCAATTTTCAACTGTTCCTTTTGACTTTTTTTCCGAGCAAAATTTTTCGAAATATCTTTTTTTTATTTTCTGTCTGAAAGTTAATGATTTACAATTTTAAAAGTTGTACTGTAGCAGAAATTCGCATGTCGCTTTTGCAGAATACCCACAATTGAAAATAATAATCAGTTTTCAAGATTATAAACAGTGATATCTAATTCATACTTGATCAGTCAAATCTTATGGGTATTGTTGTAAATTGGAATTGCATTTTGTGCAATTAGATTGGAGGGTCACTTGAAATTAGACCGTTTAGTTTCCCTATGGTTTTATCTCATTTCAACTGTTTAAAAGTTTCTGTCTCTGCTGCGCTATATATTGCATTTGCACATTCAAATTTAATTCTTGTTTAAATTCTTAAACCTAAGACTTTACAGCCTTTTAGAGGCCAGTGTGCATAATGCAAATATGCATTTTTATATATTTATGCACAAAAACATTTTAGTATTTGAAAACTTTATTTCTTCAATTTATGACGTTAACTTAGATACTGGTTTATTATTATTATTGTTTTTTTATTGTTTTTATTATATTTTATGCGCATTCAATGAAAAAATGTCTGATAAGCTGAAATGATATTCTGTTTAAATGTGTATCTAAATTAAGAATGTACAACATATGTGTTCAAATTTATAAGATTAGCTCTGGGTTTTTAAAACATTGTGAATAGTTGTTTTACGCGGCTGATCTTGCTTACCATTTTCCTTAATCTTAACTATTGAGTTTAGATAGACAATAAATAATTTTTGTCATTTCACATTAATTTCTCAAGAAGGGTAATGGTTCAATAAGCGTACTGCCCCATTTTGCCATCTGTAGTCTGTATGCATATTAGAAGTCTAAACGTTACTCCGGTAAATGAGAAGAAGTTTTCAGTAATTTTACTTTAGTTAAGCGTGAAGTATTGAGAAGGAGTTTTCAGTAATTTTACTTTAGTTAAGCGTGAAGTACTGAGAATGAGTTTCTGTAATTTTACTTTAGTTACGCGTGAAGTATTGAGAAGGAGTTTTCTGTAATTTTACTTTAGTTAAGCGTGAGGTATTGAGAAGGAGTTTCTGTAATTTTACTTTAGTTAAGCGTGAAGTATTGAGAAGGAGTTTTCAGTAATTTTACTTTAGTTAAGCGTGAAGTATTGATAAATCAACGTTATAACCCTCCAGCTCGTGCACGTGCATTAAAATACAGGAAAACGAAAGTTAAAATCACTGTAGTACAATTCACAGTGAACAAAATGTGCACACTTATTATGTAATTCCTATAGCCAAACAGAAATATCCGATATCCATGTACATATTTGCATTGAAATAAGTAATTTTTCATTTTTAATATCTGCAAAGAGATTGATTCTTTGAATAGAAAAGTAATGAAAACCCACAACAAATATATCCAAGGACGGGGGTTCCAATCTTTAGCAAAATCAAAGATAAAGATTGTATTCCATTCGCCAAATTGAATCAAAAGCTGTAGATAATTTAATAATTGCATATCTGAATCTTAAAGTCCAATGGTGAAGGAGGGGGAGTGAGGAAAGGAGTTAGGGAAGAAGGGGGAGTGAGAGGAAGGAGGGGGACCGGTTGAAGGAGGGGGAGTGGTATTTACAATTTATTTACAATATATTTACAATATATTTACAATTTATTTGCAATTTATTTACAATTTATTTACAATGTATTTACAATTTATTTACAATTTATATACAAATTTTTGTTGTTGGTAAATTTTTCACTTGTTACAAATAATTACATATCTTAATTGATCACAAGTATAGCATTATAATTATTATTTAATATTTAGGCTTTAAAAGATCTATATAAAGGGTTGCCCACCAAAACTCAGTCTTTATGGACGACCTGAAACTTTGTAAATATGACGAAAGAATGGTTGATATCTTTGCTTTGCCTGTGATCTTTAAGTTTATTGTTCAGCTCCCGGAAACCATAAAACTTAGGAAAAAGAAAAAAAGAAAAAAATCGGTTAGTCGTCTCTGAAGTCGTGTCCTTTGTGAATTGTGGGTAACCCTGTAAAATTCATAATACAATTTTAATAATTTATGATCGCCATGAAAGCTCCCCCAACCTTTGAAATATACCTCAGAAAAAAAAGAAAAATTCCCTTGCGATAAAATTTTTTGTTTGTTTTTGATTTTAATACGCTTTGGAGTTAATCTAAATAAATCCGCTGCACTGAGAATGTTTATTTTTCTTTGTAAATCAAATTTATTCTGATTTTGAAAACAAGTTTGACTTATCCACAATACGCTTACTGCAGTTTTATAAAACATCGTTAAATACTATAATAGCTAAATACTTTTATATACTGTCATGTGCAAAAGAAATATCTGATTAAATTCAATCAGTTCAAATTTTGTTACAAGTACAAATATAGTCTATTTAAAACAAAAGGATACATTATGTAATATATGATTGAATTCTCATTTTTAATATATTTTTTGGAGGAGGAAAAGAGGAGTTTCAACAACGTTTATAATTTTTTATGTGTAGAAAAAACTAATTGGTTAATAGGTTTATATATTGTTATGATTGATATATATAGTAAAATAAAAATAAATTCAAAACTGTGAAAAATGTTTGAATTTTTTTTTTACAGTGTAATACTGATGTCCTAACTATTAGCAGTGCTGGGGGCCCAGTACCAAGACTGTGCGGTACAAATAGTGGATACCATATGTACGTTGGTAGGTATCCAGGACTAGATATATCTAATAGTGGATACCATATGTACGTTGGTAGGTATCCAGGACTAGATATATCAAAAAGTGGATACCATATGTACGTTGGTAGGTATCCAAGACTAGATATATCAAATAGTGGATACCATATGTACGTTGGTAAGTATCCAAGACTAGATATATCAAATAGTGGATACCATATGTACGTTGGTAAGTATCCAAGACACAGACTAGATATATCAAATAGTGGATACCATATGTACGTTGGTAAGTATCCAAGACTAGATATATCTAATAGTGGATACCATATATACGTTGGTAGGTATCCAAGACACAGACTAGATATATCTAATAGTAAATACCATATGTACGTTGGTAGGTATCCAAGACACAGACACGATATATACACTACAGACTGCTTCTCATAAGCTCTCACTGGATAGGCTAAGTAGTTGGTGTGGCACGACATGCAACATTTCAACGCAACTGTAAGGTTTTTGATTGCCATTTAATGGCCACTTGTTGCATATAATTCCCTTTCAGGAGTTAAGTTTTGTAATTTTTTAATAAATGCTCTAACTTTTAACATAAAACATTTTTTAACAATGTTTTCATAATTTTTTAAAAATAATTTTTGTAAAACAAAATGGTACTAGGCATAGTTAATAATTTCAAATGTTCATCTTTTTTCTACTTTCTCCATCTGCGCGTCCCCAGTTTCTCCCTGTGCCCGTCTATTTATGCACGATCACCCTTTCATTGTATAGATGTTCCCCTCGCCGTTTGCGCGTCCAAAGTTTCTCTTTTGTTTTGCCTCCCTGTGCCCGTCCATTTGTGGCGCTGCTTTCAAAAAAATGTTTACGAGTCGATCTCTTTGCGCCATTATAAGACAGTGCACGATCATCCTTTCATTGTATAGATGTTCCTCTCGCCGTCTGCGCGTCCACAGTTTCTCTTTTGTTTTGCCTCCCTGTGCTCGTCCATTTGTGGCGCTGCTTATAAAAAAATGTTTACGAGTCGATCTCTTTGCGCCATTATAAGACGGAAATACTTCGGTAACCTTCAAAGCTTGTTCTGATCAAGTTTAAATTATAAATCCATGTTTAAGTTATTTTAAACCCTTTTATCTTCATTTGCAGTTTCTCTGTAAAAGTAACTATGCGTATTTATTTTTATTAGAAAGACTGGAGAAATTGTCAGAATTAAACACTTTTCGTGTCGGTAAAACGACGTAATCCTCGACATTTTTTATCAGATTAGAGGTACCGTTGTAAATCTGACATTGTCATCTTGGGATGGAGACTAGTCACTTGAAATTAAGCTTACAGTCCCTTTAAAGTTTTCTATTTAATAGAATACCACGGTGGATCCTGTATTGATGTTGCAATAACTCAGGGATCAGCAACATATTCGTAAGTTTTTTTAGTCAACAATTTTTTTTGCGTTGAAAAAATAAATGGAACTTTTAACATAAAAAGTATAGTTTTTATTACTGCTGAAATGATGTATTTTAAGTTTCACGTTTGAAAATTTATTTTTGATTTTCAAATATAATTTAAGGGTGGAATTGCGTCAATTTCCGTCGATTCTTTGTTTTACTATATAAGGACGACATTTCCATACGTTTCTTGTTTATTTGTTTTAAGGACGACATTTCCATACGTTTCTTGTTTAGAAAAATTATACTTGATTTGTTTTTAAACGCATTAAATAACAACAAAGCAATGTTTAAAATTAATCATATCGTATTATTTTTTAAGAAAATTTAATATATAATATATTTGAGAAAAAAGGTCTTAAAAAATATTTTCTTGTCAAAATGTCGTCTTGAAAATATGAATAAAATCAAAAATTTCTAGAATTTTAGTTTTTATTCCAAAGTTTGTTGGTTCTCACTGTTAAATTATAGTATTCCTGTTTATAAAATAAAAACACTTCAGAAAATCGACCGTTCTTTGATTTACAACGGGACCCATAAAACTGTGGAAAAGGAAGACGACTATATTCCAAAAAACATTAAACACAGCAATTGTGCAGTGCACATGTGTACATACATTTAATTATGCTGCACTGCACTAGGCGAGGATGGGATATAACAATGTACATAGTGTACACAAACCGATATTAAGAAAATATTATTTAATTGAACTGCACTAGGCGAGGATGGGATATAACAATGACTCAAATAGTTTGTCCCAGCACCCATGCTCCTCCTACAGGGTGTACACAGGTAAAACATATTTTTAATCTTACTAGTGTCAGAAAAACAAATTTGTCCAGTTACATACAGGGTGTCCCACGAAACATGACAGTTGGTGAACAGTTTTGAATGTTTTCTTTCATGTATTATATTGGATATTAAAGACTTTTTGCAGTTTATTTCGTTAAAAAGATCTTTTGTCAAACTTTGAAATCAATTTTACAATAATATAATTGTCATTTTCATCATTCTCTTTAATATCAAACAACTTAGATAATTATGGAAGAAGACATTTAAAACTATTCACCAACTGTCATGTTTTGTGGGACGCCCTGTATTGTATGTAACTGGGTAAATTTTTCTTTTCTGACACTTGTACGTAATATAACAGAACAAAAAGACCCATGAGAAGACAAACTCTACAGTTTTCTGATTCTCACTGTAACCTATTAATTAGTATTTTACCGGAACATCTGGAACTATTGAAAGCTTTAACTTTGCTCTGAAAACACATCTTTCTAATCTGAATTACAAGGTAATTATACTAATTTCTTTTATTAAAGGGACTATTTTTAATATCTGATCCTCCATCTGGGATGCAGAGACACTGAAGTAAATAATCAGAATTTTACGCTTTTTAAACAATTCGACAATATCTTTTTTATTGCTAATCAGAAAGATATCTTTAAATTGGCTACCGTTGGCAACTGGAAATCCCACTCTGTAAATGGAATGTCACATGCAATTAATTCATTTACTTAAAGAGAGGCAAAATCAAACTTTAACTTTTATTAACCATTTGAATCTGATTTTTTATTTATTTTCAAGAAAGAGTGTCTATGCCGACTTGGATTATTTAAGTGTAGAAAATTTTAACATTTTTAAGTATATCTCATTAATAGAAGTTATTTTTCCGACGTTTTAACTTTACATTTTTATTACAAAAATAGTCACATTAAAACCATAAATTTTCTTTCTTTCTGAAAACAATATATTAGTCCCTGCAGGCAAGGCAAGCTCAATTTGGAAAGCAAAATATCAAGATGACCTCAAAATATGCCTAATTTTTTTGCGTTGACAAAAGTGATAATTGTCGCCCTCTAGCTTTATTTTTGTCATTAAATCAAATCATATCATTTATTTCCGCAGAAAATCTAAACATAATTTAAATTGTAATAAAAACAAGTATATAAAATAATAATTTCCACAGCCGAGGATGTTGTATAATTTGTAAAGATTTTACTTAACAATGTTCAAAAATGTTAAAGATGATCAATTACAAATTTCTTGGAGGCATTTCAAGACAATCATTCTACAGTTTATGTTTGTCACTGTATGTACATACATTGTACATGTGTATAGATCTGTGTACGACGAGAGAGGTTGTACTGTACAATAACCTGGACTGCTCCAACCTTCAGCTGGTCTGGGAAGACAGGAGTTCTTTCTCCCGCTCTGCTTGTGGGAGATGCAGTGAGTCAAAGATTAGTTAACAATAACAGATAGAACACTGATGTCACTTTTTCTCCAGAGAGAGAGCCTGTTCTACCCATAGATAAAGATAGATTGCGCATAAGACGACATTTTTCATCTTGAAAGATATAAATGTACTAAAGGCGGGCTTTAATTAAAAAAATAACGATAAACAGAAACTTTACGGGAATTGCATTTTTCTGTTTCACACTCTGAACGCATTTGAAACTAATTTTTCGCAAATTTTTTCGGGGCCTTGAAAAACACCAAATTCTCGAAAGAAAAATTATGATTAAATATTGTAAAAACAACCTGACAATGAGTTAAATTAATGTCGAATTAATGCAGACTTTTGTTTGACTTTTTGGCATTACAATAATTGCAGAAAAATAGCGAAAAACTTTATCCGTTGCTGGCTTTTCTGAACAGATTCAAAATTTATATTGTTGCGTGCTATCACAACAAAACATAGTTTTGGTAGAACAACAAATCTGTTGTATAATGGATATCAGAAGAATAGTAAAAATGTTGCGCATTATTCCGCAAAATCTTACCGCAATGTATAGCAATAGTTGTGCACATTTTCTCAAAGGCTAGTTTTTTTTATAATTAGCGCATACAAATATTTTGTATTACGTTGTTACTTAGATTAATGTTATACGAAGTTCAGCCAAACTTTGCTGAAATTGAATAAAAAGATTTTGTGCATGGAAACCCTAGGCAACCCCCCCCCCCCCTTAAGAAAGGGGAAAGGCCGCGGGCCCCCCCCCCCCCGCCATAAACCTTCTGTTGCCATGGTCCTGAATCAAGTATGAAAACACATTAATTTCTCACACAACTCATATCCTTGTATTGTTACCAGTTCCTACAATGGAACCATTAGTTGAAATTCTTCAGGTTCACGCTCTACACTTTTTACTTATGATAAGTTTCACAGAATAATAACATACACAAATCCTTCCATTGTTTTCAGCTAATTTGAGAATAAAACTGAATAACGTGACATGTAATTAAATATTTTATGTTCCTTCTCAAGTAAAGCCATAATATATCTAACTCTTAATTAAGGGTGATCAATATTGGAATTAGGCTAACCGCCCACTGGGGCTGGGGTTGCTGCGCTTTCGCTGAAACAAAATATTGCAATAAAAAATTTTAAAATCGTCCATACGGTTGTGAATAGACGATTTAATTTAAGAGGAATCCCCGTCAGGCCCCCCAAAAATAATATTTTGAAAATTTCATGATTTATATCATTTTCTTTGAAATTGTATGCTGAATTCAACTCTGAAAAGCGCCAAATATAGCCAAAAAAAACTAACCAAAATTTTTTAAAGAAATTTTTAATGAGTTTTCTCGCTCTAACTCATTCAATTTTAATTTTTTTTAAAAGGGCATTTCTTATTTGAATTCAGCATAAAACTGCCAAGAAAATGATGTTAATCAAGAAAATACTTTTTTTGGGGCCTTACGGTGATTTCTTCGATATTAAATCGTCAATTTGCAACCGTATGGACGATTTTGAAATTGTTTTTATTACAATATTTTTGTTAAGTGAAAACGCATGTTGGGCGGTTAGCTGATTTCTATAAAAAAGGTAAAAAATCAATCACTTTGTACTCTTGATGCCACAGTTTTTAAAGGGACTGTCGACGTATTTTCTTGTGATTCTTGAATAAATTATATACATACCCGATTCACAACGGTACTTATCAATAATTTGTTTTGATAACATGTTTTTGAGATATCCTAGTTTTTTTATTGCGGATTCACTATTCTTCTATCGTGACTTGCGGAATTATGGAATTACAGAGACAAAGAAGGAAATTCATGGTTTTGCGAAATTTATAGATTCTAAAAATTTAGCCGTAAAGTTTTCCAAAAAAGTTTCATTTGTCATGTTTGGACATCAAACATTGTACTTAGAGCAGGTGGGGGGGGGGGGGGTTACCCAACAAACTGGAGGGGGAAGAGGTGGGGAAGTATAAATATTAAACTGGAGCATCTCCATTGATTTATTACTGGGAGCCCACCCACCAGAGACATCTATTAATGGGTTTTGAAAAGAGATTACATCTCTCATTATCTTCAAGGACACTCTACATTCTACAAATTCAGATAAGAATACTAATATTACTAAACCATAATATTTATAATGCACAGTGTACACTTTAAATGTTACAATTAAAGGAATCGACTGTAGGAGCAATTTTAGGTACCCCCCACCCCTGCAAAGATGGCAATGTCCAATTTACAACGGGAGCGTTGAATGCTGAAAGCCTTTGTCTGATCAAGTATGAATTAGATATACATGTTTTGTTTCTTAAACCTAGGGACAATCTTTTCCATATTATTGATCAGATAAAGGTTTCAAAGGTACGTTGTGAATTTTGTCAATTCAAAACTTTCAATTTGAAAGTTTTCGAGTGAGAACATGCAAATAAAAAAAAAATGAAACTTCCAATTAGGCGTAGTTGAGAGTGTTAAAACAGTCTGTATTATACATGTTTAAATCTTCATACAATTCGTGCAGTGTCACGTTAAAATAACGTTAATTCGTGCAGTGTCATGTCAAACTAAAGTTAATTCGTACAGTGTCACGTCAAATAACGTTATTCGTGCAGTGTCATGTCAAACTAAAGTTAATTCGTGTAGTGTCATGTCAAACTAACGTTAATTCGTGCAGTGTCACGTTAAACTAAAGTTAGTTCGTGCAGTGTCACGTCAAACTAAAGTTAGTTCGTGCAGTGTCACGTCAAACTAAAGTTAGAACGTGCAGTGTCACGTCAAACTAAAGTTAATTCGTGCAGTGTCACGTCAAACTAACGTTAATTCGTGCAGTGTCACGTCAAACTAAAGTTAATTCGTGCAGTGTCACGTCAAATAACGTTAATTCGTGCAGTGTCACGTCAAACTAAAGTTAATTCGTGCAGTGTCACGTCAAACTAAAGTTAATTTTACCTTTTCTATCTGTCTATTTTAGTGTGGTGTGAAAGTACAAATAATTTTTAAGCAAATGAATTCTGTATTTTTGCTTTTATGTGATTCTGAAGTTGTTGGTCTAAATGGTAACAGTGCACTCCATGCCAATAAACAGTAATTTTTTTGAACGAACAACATTTTTTGAACGAACCACATTTTTTGAACGAACCACATTTTTTGTGGAAAGGGGTGTCGTCCGGAAAAAAACTGACTACGGAGGAACGTGTACTGGATCGTTCGAGAAATGAAAAAATTATCTGTTTTATCATGAAAGACTATAGTTTTTTTTTTACAGAACTAACAAAGTTTCCACAAGATTTAGAAAAAAAACAATCGTGTTTTACTGAATGAACGATTTTTTCGAACAAGTTTTTGAAAAAGCTATTGTTTTTTACTAAACAAACCATTTTTTGAATGAACGATTTTACTGAACGATTGTTCAGTGAGAAAACGAACGAAATAGATGAAAATTTACGATAATTTTGAGAACGAACAAAATCAATTTTTTAGACAATTGAAAATAAACGAAGAAAATGGATCGTTCACGAACCATGAACAAACGAGATGAAAAAGTCGAACGTGGTAACTTATATTACAGAGCTAATTTAAAGTCGGATCTTAAAGATCTGATCTATTTAGAAATCTAATTAGATCAAATCTTGATTATAATCTCTTTGTTAACTCCACCCTTCCTTATTCCTGATACTTGGTGAAGAAAACTTTTAAAAAAGCAGAAAAGAAATAAAGTTTAAATTGAGTCAAAGATTTTATCAAAGTAGGTTTATATTTGACTTGCTGAAGTACCCGGCCAAGAAAATTTCCTTATGATTATACACGCTTTGCAGACGGTACTCCATTTGAATATTATCTGATGTACACTTACCGCGTATACAATAACCTATTCCTAATATTTCTTATACAAATGGAGTACCGTCTGCAAAGCATGTATAATTAGATGGCAGGGCGGGCCGCGTCAGTTGTATTTCCCTTCTATTCCATACTCCTTGGAATTTCCCTAGAAGGAACTGGTTCATTTGGCGTACCGTTCTGTTTTGCCTGGTATAATCTGTATGCGTACTGTACAGGTCACTGTAGCTGGTTAGATGTCGGGCCGGTTCGTGAAATAAAGAGGAATTAACAATTTAAAAAACAAATTGACAAAAATCTATTTTGAAAAAAATAGAATTATTTTGGGCAATACAGTAGGAACCTTCAGGAATTCCTGCAACAAATTTGGCCAGCTATAATAAAATATAAGCGAAAAGCTTTATTAAATAGACTGATATAAGTAAGTTGACTGATTGTCTCCGAATACTAGAGCTGAATAAAGATGATAATGTTCAATGCACAAAACCAAATATCGTCTTCAATCAAGTTCTCCGAACTACCTCGCTAGTCAGCTGAGAGGTAGTTCTTCATCTGCTCCGCATACAAATACACAACAGTCAACCAGAATGATTGCTCATGATGATCATTGATCGCCAAGCATGCTCTCAATGTCTGGAATGATCTCTTCAACTTCGACACCAGGAGCGTAACGTTTAAACGGATGGCCGTTAGAGTCGAAAAGAATCTTCTCAAAATTCCACCTGTAAATATTTTTATAATAATTACAATACTTATAAAAAAATAAAAATAAATAGTTTTATCATTACCTCCATTCTTTAATTGGACTAATGAGAATACAAAAATATATCAAATTAATATCAAACACCTTTTTCTGCAACAATTTACAACTAAGCAAGTTAAGTAAGAAAATTGTAATAAATCTTTTTCCGGCTAAAAGGTTTTGTATTGAACAAAACATTGGTCTCATTTTTGTCATAGAGCTGAAAGGTCATTTTACAACAACAAAAACATTAAATATATATCATTCATAGAAAGAAAGACATTTTTTGCTAAAAAGCTATCATTATTGACTTAGGTCACTTACAAGTGGGAAATATAAATATGAAAACGTCACTTCCAAGTGGAATTGATCAAAGTTAGCTTACTTACAAATGAATATGTTTGCTTTATGTTTGCAGATTATAAAGCTCAATTGCAAAAAAAGAAATAAGGGCTAATTTTACAGGGCTATCCATTAAGGATGAGACTTTAATAACGACCTAAAACTCTTTAAAAACGCAACAAAAAGGTTTAATCTGCTCATCTGCTTTTAAAAATATGTTAAATGGTTTGACAAAGAGAGAAATACGATCAAACGGTGATTTTTGTGAACGAACTTTGTAAATAATATGAAGGATGAATATACACCCCGTTTTTCCTAAGTTTGCTCATTACTACTTTATAAGGTTATTCATAGAATCCCACCAAGCTTGGTGACCGACAGCGTCCCTGGGTTTCCCTGAATTAGGGATGGCATGGGTTTAAAGAACTGCATTGGAAAGATCAGGAGAGGAGACTAGGCGTGTTAGTCGAGTATGAGCTATTGCGAGTGGAGGAGGAGATGATCGTAGTGTGATGCTGTGGACAGTAATATATTAATCTAACCGTTTGCTATTCATTTTATTCCTTTTTATTCAATGAAGTACGTAATCGCTTTGTGTTCATTGCCATATATTTTAGTATCGAAGAGAATTGGTAAAATGTAGATTTAATAAAATATTGCTTTCATTTTAACTTTACATTAGAGCTGCAGGTAACCTTCACAAAACTTTGTATAATTTCTGTACAATCATCTTATTCTTTGTGGCTAACCCTGTAATATACTTCTCAGTCCTTTCATTAAAATTCATTTTAAACTCATTAAATTAAAACCTGATATCGTTGGCATCAACAGGATCATACAGTAAATAGGTTTTATCGCGGAATACACTTTCTGGCGAATCACAAAGGCCCTGGAACAAATTTGTTAGAAGATATAAAAATAAAAGAAATTTTATTTTTAAAAAGAGGTACCAGGGCCCATTGATAAAGAGGAATCCTGTTGATTCCATTAACCTCAGAGAGCGCTGTGAGCTGGAAATTAGGAACAAAACTGTTTCCAGGTTTTACGTGAAACAGACCATTCATCAGCTCCTCGGCAACTCCAGAAGGTTCTTTCTAGATATTTCATCAATTTAAAAATCTGGTGAATACAGTGATCTACAAAATAATGTAGCGTACGAAATGACTTTAAGACTTTAGATATTGTGTTTAATGCACATGACTTTTTGCTCTTGATCGGTTTTATTTCATGATGCCATCAGAACTATTTAAATGTTATCTAGTTTACGTTTGAACATTTTATCTTTTATTTGAGTAAAAATATGGAAGATAATGTGGTTTTCTGCATTATACAACTTGAAATGTGACCCCTTTTTGGTCTGTGCAGCATGAATAGCAAGTCACTTTTATTGAGCAACAACAATAGAAATAAATAAGTTTTCAAATAGAAAAATAAGAATGCCTGGTTCCTCTTTGACCAGACAAATATGCAAGATTGAAGTGTTGTAAATCAGACATGCCGCTTGTTCAACTTGTTAACTTCAAATCACACATACACAGTCCCTTACAACTCTAGCGACGTTTACATTTGAGAAAAAAAATATTTCTTTTATTTTCCAAAATTAGCCGAATAAGATGGACGATGCACGAACATGATGGACAATGCACGAACATAATGGACGATGCACGAACATAATGGACGATGCACGAACATGATGGACAATGCACGAACATAATGGACGATGCACGAACATAATGGACGATGCACGAACATGATGGACAATGCACGAACATAATGGACGATGCACGAACATGATGGACAATGCACGAACATAATGGACGATGCATGAACATAATGGACGATGCACGAACATGACGGACAATGCACGAACATAATGTACGATGCACGAACACCAAGATGAACAGAAATGTCCAAAGGAATTGAGTCTTTGCAACAAACTCTGATTTTCTAATCCATATATCTGTGCAATCAATTTTCATAGACCTTAGCTATTTCAAACTATGATTTCTGTTAGATCAAATAATCTAATTTTTAAATATCAAATATTTCCACCATCCATGGATTAGAAAATAGTGTTTGTGGTAAAAACTCAATTCCTTTGCAGCTGATATAATCTAATTTATAGTATTTTGTAAAAGTTAAATTAAAAAAATTAATTTGTTAAAAAAACTTACATTCCAGAATTGGTTGCAGGGAACTCCTATGATATCAACTTGGCCATTGAAGGACTCTACAAGTGCATTAAAGTCCAGGTATTGGCTGGTGAAACCTCAGTAGGTCGCTACATTCACCAGAAGAACAGCCTACAATTAGTGTTGTTTAACAATTAGTCTCGTTTAACGTTTTAGATTCAATAAAACTTTCGAGATTTCAAAGTTTTATAATTTTAAAGTTTGCTTTTAATAATCTTTGCAGCATCTTTATCCTAAAAAAAAGAAAATTAGAAAAACGATTTAAAAATTATCGTTATAATACGTTCGTTTTGCATCGTTTTTGGGTCGTTTTTTGCATATATCTTCCGCCATGGTCAAATTTTTATCAAAGGTTTATACCATCAGGTTTCAAAGACGTGGATATTAGAAAATTTGAGTTCGTGGCAAAAACGCAGTGGCTTTACAAATACGTTTTAATTTCTATCCCATAGACAATCCCTTTAACTTTACCTTTCCCTGGTATGCAGATAGAGATATATTCTGATTTCCATCCAGGGAGGGTAGGATAAAATCATACAAACTAGTCGTCTCATCATTTCTACAGGTCGAGACCTGCAAACCTAAACACGGTGTTCAGAAATACTGAAAGCAATAATATTGTAACCACCCCCCCTCCTTCCTCTCCCTTGGTCTGTAAGAGGTAACCAGCTCAGCCAGCAGTATAAAAGGAAATAGTGAACCAGGATTATTTACTCAGTTGATAACGAAGTCCGAGGGAGAGGTTATCAACATTGTTGGGCGGAGACTGGAGAGTCACTTCAAATAACGCCTTTTAGCAAATCAAAATTCTCTGTCAAAATTAAAGATGAAATAAAAAAGCTTATCTCATGGCTAAAGAATACCCGTGGCTGGAGCCAGAAGTAAAGCTAGAAATAAATACTAATGATATCCGTAGCTAGAACCGGAAGTAAATCTAGAAATAACAACTAATGATGCCAATGGCTAAAGCCGGAATTAAACTATAAAGAAATACTAATAAAACCAGTGGCTAGAGCCGGAAGTAAATCTAGAAATAAAAACTAATAAAACCATTGGCTAGAACCGGAAGTAAAGCTATAAATAGGTAGTAATGATACCCGTGGTTAGAGCCCGAAGTAAAGCTGTAAATAAATACTAATGAATGATACCTGTGGTTAAAGGCGGAAGTAAAGCTAGAAATAAATACTAATAATACCTGATGTGGATAAAGCCGGAAGTAAAGCTAGAAATAAATACTAATAATACCTCTTGCTGAAGCCGGAAGTAAAGCTAAAAATAAATACTAATGATACCTGTGGCTAAAGCCGGAAGTAAAGCTAGAAATAAATACTAATGATACCTGTGGCTAAAGCCGGAAGTAAAACTAGAAATAAATACTAATAATACCTGTGGCTAAAGCCGGAAGTAAAGCTAGAAATAAATACTTATGATACCCGTGGCTAGAACCGGAAGTAAAGCTAGAAATAAATACTAATGATACCTGTGGCGAAAGCCGGAAGTAAAGCTAAAAATGTTGCCGAAGGCTTCATCCTTGCTACTCTGAAGTAAGTTAATATACCTGGGGATTAAGTAGGTAAGATAACAGTAAACAATAAGCAACTTGGTAAACAAAGATAATAAATTGCGCAGACATTTTTTTCATAAAATTTTATTTGTTTGACCTTTCATTTAAAAAGTGTCATCACCGTATTCAAAACAATATTTTTCTCTCTTCTATTTGATATCATACAACCGTTGCATTCTCAGCAAGTTAATTGCAGATTTCTATATCCAAAGAATCTACATATATAAAGTTGTAATCTCTGTTTGTCTGTTTGTTTGTTTGTATTTACGATCAAAACTCATGAACTCCTTGACCGATTTGCATCAAATTTTGATTCTGAGTTAAGTGGGTCGACTTTTATATGGAAAAATACCTAAATCGTAATTTACAACCGGCCATGCGCGGGTAAACAGAGGGAGTAACTATGAATACCCTGAGCAACGCTGGTTTTCAAGCTAGTGGGTAAAAAAAATTGCCAAACTTTGTAATACCCAAATAAGGATTAAAAGAGTACTATGTGAATTCATGATGGCACTCTTTATATTCAAGATTACTTGAACGATACCTTAGATTATTATTTTTATATAAATTGATTTTTAAATTAAAGACATTTCAGCGCGTTAAATTAGTTATTTTTATGCAAGCTTAATTTCGAGTGACCCTCAATATATCTTAAGAGTAGCATGTACTATTCACAGTGGTACCTTTTAAATTCCCTCCTTGTCTCTGCAGCAGGAATCCGTTAGCTATTTTATCAGAGAATACACAGTTGAAAATAATCAATTGAATTTGATGCTTGATGAGACAAGGTTGCATGCCCGATTCCCTGCGGGAGGGGAGGAAGNTTTCCAAATCTTGAAGATAAAACTATTTTTGAAAAATCTGGCCACGTTATGGCATAAAATATGGATAGACTAAAGTATTGCAATGATTATATCGTGTTTGAATCTTTAGAGACATGAGAATAATGTCAAACTTTATTTGGGTAAAACTTAAAATTCTTTTGCCTCCGTAATAGCAAAATATTTGGCATACCTATGCCTATCATTTTCCCAATGGACCCACCCGGAAAAAATCTATGGTTTTCACTATAATTAAGAAAAAAATTTAAAGTTCTATAATCTTGGAATTATTTGCGGCATCCTACACCAAAAATATCTGAAAATGCGCATAAAAAAGGTTAACATTTTTAAGGACATAGAACTCGAAAACTTTAATTCAATTGAAACTATTTTTTTCGATTTACTAAAATTCAATGCTTCATTTGTGCCCTAACGTGGCCCAATTCTTAAAAAATTGTTTTATCTTAGAGGACTAGACACTTTTAACAAAACAATATTGGAAGGACGAGGATTTAGAGGTGGCTCGGACGCCTCCCTACGGTACCCTTGACAACTTAGTCTGATAAATAATGAAATGGATTTATGTTTCTCTTAGAAAATTTACTATTTCTAATTGAGGTTTCTCTAGTACAGTGGGAAAACGGAAGCCATGATACTGAAAAACGCACAAACATTTGGTTTATTCCTAATACCTTCAAATTTTTGGGTTTATGATGTTTAGTATAATTTAGGAATATGTTTGCTAATGCATTCGAATAATTTGTAATTAAACCTCTTTTTAAAAAAATCTTAACAAACAAACAAATCGTTGTAAAATATGGATGATAAATAAAAGTTATGATTTATTTGCGTGATTAAATGATATTTTTTTTGTAAAATAAATTTTTTTTGATAGTTTTATTTAACAATCTCCTAAAAGATTTTAACAAATCCCCTAAAAGATTTTTAAAAATCACCAAATCAGCATCCTGTCTGTAGATTGTATTATATGATGAATCATAATGTTGATACAATAATTCAAATCATGTTTTGAAGATTTCTTTTCTTAATTTGAATATTATGTGGCATGCTCATCGCAGTTTCAGAAAATAATAGCTATAAGAAATAAGAAAAATCGGAGCTTCAAATGGAAATTTTAACGTTAAACCCCATACCCACGTCAAATTAAAGTACAATTTTTATTAGGTTGAAATCTTTTGCAAAAGAGCAATGATGGTTTAAATTTCTCCCATTATGCCTCCAAATAAATTCGGTATTCTCATACTGGGGCTACGAGTTCACAAAGTTATACCAGCATTGTCGCATAACTTTGACCTTCTCCGGCCTTCTGTCTAGTGCATGAGTGTGTGGAGCATTCTACAAAGTATAAATTTTATCACTGAATACAATCTTAAATTTTTGTTTATCATTATTTATTAAATCTAGAAAAATATTGATTATAAATGCACATGCAGAAGCAAGTCTTAGAGAAGCAGAGTTCAATGCACAGTCCTCCTCTCCTCTTTAACTCATCAGAACCATCTCGCCATAGAGCTTAGAGACAGTTCTTCATATTGCCAGCAGATGCATCATTCAAAACTCATCCTTAGATCTATAATAAAATGTTTGATGACATTAATATTCCTAATTTTATTTGGATGGTTTATACATTCCAAAGATTGTAATTTCTTCTGGATACATTTAGGGCTCCATCTTTCAGTCCAAGCGTGTCTCAGACTTAGTCTGTGATCTATCTGACAGATGCTCCCATTCTCCATCAATTACGAAAACCAATTTGCTGAAGTTATAACAATCTATAGGGAATTGAAAGGCTCACGTACAAAAGGTAGAATTACAAAAGGTAGAATGACAAAAGGTAGAATGACAAAAGGTAGAACAATCAAAAGGTAGAACGATCAAAAGGTAGAATAAACAAAAGGTAGAACGTTCAAAAGGTAGAATTACAAAAGATAGAACGTTCAAAAGGTAGAATTTTTTTTTATTTTTGAGAAGGAAGAAAATTTTCTAGTTTTTACAAGAAAATCCGCGAATTTTTTTTTTAAAAATCACAAAACTGCATTTCTCGGTTGAATTCAGCATGGAGAGGTTGGACAACTATGGGGTGAATCAAAAGAAGAAAAGAACATCGTTGACGACCAGAAATATGAATATAATTACGAAAATTAAGAATGGAACAGAGTTCAGCCAGTGGTGCAAACAGCACTGAGAACGCTCGCAAACAAAAACAGAGAGATATACGTACTAGGATTAAAAACATGACTGAAATGTATAATAATATTCCTGCACCAGACTATATGAAACAACTTGCCACAATTATTGGCATGGATTAAAATCATGTACATTTGTAAAATAAAAATTTTTCCTAACAAATAAGAAACGTTATTTTCTACCTTTTGTACGTTCTACCTTTTGTAATTCTACCTTTTGAACATTCTACCTTTTGTTTGTTCTACCTTTTGATCGTTCTACCTTTTGTCGTTCTACCTTATGATCGTTCTACCTTTTGTCATTCTACCTTTTGTAATTCTACCTTTTGTACTGGAGCCGGATTGAAATTTCTACTGAAAGGGACTGTAAGCGTAATATTAAGTGGCCTTCCATGCAAAGTTATATGCAAAGTTATGCCTGATGTACCCTTTGATCAATAATCTAGAAGATTTTGTCTTTTTTAGAGATTTCACAATTGAAAATAATCAGTTTTTGAAATAATAAACATTAATATCTGATTCATACAATTAATCAGACAACACTTTTAATGGTGAATTGGCCATTGCCATCTTAAATGGAGGGTCATTTGAAATTACGCTTACAGTCATTTTACTTAACCAACAGCTACTAACATTTCATAAAGTATCTCATTGTTTACAGTACACTTGTATATCTTTAAAATCGTGGTGTAAACAAAGGTTTTCACTTTTTTCAGAATTCATCAGCTTTACAATATGATTTTTTTAAACCGTCTATTTTGCAGCAAAAGTTGGATGACTGCCAAATAAAAAGCAAATTTTTGTTGAATAAGCGATTTTTTGTTAAAAAAAGGCAATTTTTCTTATTTCGTGATTTATAGCATCCAGGTACTTATTGAACCACCCTAGCAGCAGTATTGTTCATCTGAGGAGATAATTATTAAAAAAAAAAATTTTACCCTGTTTAAAAAATCCAGTTTGCCTTCTCTCCAAGAAGTTCCTCTATGTCTGGGATAATCTCCACAACCTCAGTTGACGGGGTGTAACGTTTCACAGGGTTTCCATTCTTGTCAAACAAAATCTTCTCGAAGTTCCATCTAAACTTTTACAATTTAAGAGACTGTTCCTTTAATTACAGTAACTAGTGATGTGCAATAGCTTTGGTATTTTAAAAACAACCATTTTTGACTTTCTATAAAATTCTAAACATCGGCTTTCCTTACACTTTGTACCTAGAACAAAAATACGAGGCAAAAACAAACAAAAAATTAAAAAATTAACAGAATTATAGTTGGTTTCGTTTTTTTCTTTCTATTTTATCACAGGGACAAATTATTTTCATCTATATATAAATTTGGCTTGTCTGTTTGTATCCAATAAACGTCAAAACGGCTGAACCGATCGGGCCCAAATTTTTTGTGGGACATCTAGGGACCCCAGGGAAGGTTTATGAATGATTGAAATCTAAAAAAAATTGTGTTTTAAAGGTTTTTAATTTTGTAAAAAAAAATTAAATTTTTGAAAATCCGCGAATTTTTTTTTAAAAATCCGCAAACTTTTTTCATCTTTGTTTTGAAATGTAAACAATTCGAACATGTTCCTAATTTAAATAGAAGATGTGCGCGAAGCGCCCTAAAAGCCTAGAAAGAAGGGCGCGAAGCGCCTTGAACTTCTAGTACTTTAATAAAAGCAGAATTTTCTGAAATGATAGAACCTTATTTTTATAGAACAGTATTTTGGGGTGCCTTGTCTAAAATATCTAAAAAGTCTTAGAAAACCCAACCAAGTTAAAACGTACAGTTTCGAAAGAATATAAAACTATTGCTCAAGAATTCAAGAAAACGTTTCTTTAATCACAATTTTATCTTATTTTCAAATATAAATTACCTGATATCATTGGAGTTGAGAGGACCGTAGAGAAGATAGGATTTATCACTAAATGCCATATCTGGAGTATCACACAGACCCTGAAATCAGAGTCCAAATTTATGAATTCCAGGTTTAATCTGCAACGCGGAATATTTGAAATTCTTGAGAGAGCATAACAAATTTTCAAAATAAAATCAACATAACGTTTTAGAGTTTAACGTATGGATACTATATTTATTTTTTTTCATGCTTAATAGAGATAGCTGGTTCCATTGTGGTATTTATGAAACTATGGACTAAATAGACTCAGTTATTTTATTATATTAGTTATATCCATAGCAATTGTGCAGCAGTACCCACTGAACCACATCACCCATTTCTCTTGATAATTTGGGTTTCGAGTCTTAAATCAAATTTTCAAATATTAATAAGAAATCTAAATGTTCTTTTCTTAATCCACAGTTTTATTAATCCCACTGTAAAAACATTTTGCTACAGTGGTAAGCGATTATATCAATACAATGATGACGACTTTTTAATATAAGTTTTGATTGTTAAGAAGCTTTTATCGAATTACAAGTTTACTCAAAGAGAAGCTTTTATAATTGACAGCTTCTTTTGACTTCTATGTTTATATATATCCATTCCATGCTATTTAACAGCTTGATATAAATTGAAATTGAAATCTAAAGTCGTCTTCATTGTATTGATATATACGACAAGAACATATGATATATTTACCAAAGCCCATTGATACAGAGGGATTCTATTAATCCCGTTGATCTCCGACTTCTGGAAGAGCTGAAAATTTGGCATAAAACCATTTCCAGGTCGAACATGTTCAAGAGCATTCATGATCTCCTCAGGAGTACCGGGCTCTTGCTAAACAAAGGGGTCTTTATTTAAATTTAAAAACTGGGTTTAGATATTTTGGGAACCCAGACTAACTTGGGATTGGGACCAGCTCAACTAAGAATCTCAAAACCAAGCTAAGAACATTCCCGTGGTTCTCAGATGTTCCCCAGTCAAAATTTGAGGCAAATCGGTGAAGCAAACAAACAGAGATGACAACTTTATTGTTGGGAACCCAGCGTTGCCCCAGGGTACTCAGGGTACTCAAAGTTACTCCCGCATTTTCTCTATGTCTATCAAAATCTGATTAGAACAGTATTATCTCAATGAATATTAAAATCTTATTAGAACAGTATTATCTCAATAAATATCAAAATCTGATAAGAACAGTATTATCTCATAACTATCAAAATCTTATTAAAACAGTATTTTCTCAATGAATATCAAAATCTTATTAGAACAGGATTATCTCAATGAATATTAAAATCTGATTAGAACAGTATTATCTCAATGAATATCAAAATCTTATTAAAACAGTATTATCTCAATGAATATCAAAATCTTATTAGAACAGGATTATCTCAATGAATATTAAAATATGATTAGAACAGTATTATCTCAATGAATATCAAAATCTTATTAGAACAGTATTATTTCAATGAATATCAAAATCTTATTAGAACAGTATTATCTCAATGAGTATTAAAATCTTATTAGAACAGTATTATCTCAATAAATATCAAAATCTTATTAGAACAGTATTATTTCAATGAATATCAAAATCTTATTAGAACAGTATTATTTCAATGAATATCAAAATCTTATTAGAACAGTATTATTTCAATGAATATCAAAATCTTATTAGNTGAACAGGATGCCGAACTTTATTTCATTGTTGTTGTTTTCTGTCAAACTTACATTTAGAAACTGAGTACATGGAATACCAATAACATCAACTAGGCCGTTGAAGGACTCTTTTAGTGCATTAAAGTCCGGATACTGCCTAGCCATACCTCAGTAGGTCGCTACATTTACCATCAGAACAGCCTAGCAAATCATTTATAAATAGTTTAATTTCATGTGACTCTACATTTAAAGAGTTGATTATTCTGATCAGGAATGCCTTAGCCAAAATATGATTGAAAGATGTACGAATTCAAGAAGAAAATGAAGAACAAGAAATATAGAAATCTCAAAATATTTTCATCTGATATCAAATAAATATTTAAATATATCGTAAAATTTAATTAAAATAAATTATTAAAGTTAAAAATTCATAAAAGTTTATAATTTACCGTGTAAAAAAAATCTTGATAAAAGTTTTTTATTAGATTTTACCTTCCCCTGATATGTAGATAGGGATATATTCTGGGTTCCATCTAATGAAGTCAGGGTGAAATCATGTAGAGTAGTATCATCATTTCTACAGGTTGTATACCCTACACATGGTCAGTATTACTTACGAGCGCTATAGTTTCAGTAGAAGTAAATGTTTCTATTGGCTGATAGCGCCGATTGAAGGATTCATAACTTTAATTGGATAATGATATAGATAGAAAGATAGATGTTACCACCATGCAATTTCTATTAGTTCAGAATAGACAAACACACGACTGAACCCTGATTGGATCAGGCGCTAATGGACTCGGCATACAGGAGTGCTTGGTCACAAATTCTTACCAGTAACTCATGTTGTGCCCTCAAAGAATGAGTCTGTATGAACTTTTAAAATGTTTTCTTCAGTTCATTGAATGAAAGACTTCCTGAGGGCCAGAATAATCCAAAGAAATTGAGTCTTTGCCACAAACTCTGATTTTCTAATCCCAATCTCTTTGCAACTATAAATTCTGTTAGATCAAACAACTTAAGCCTGAAATATCAAAGGTTTACACCATCAGATCGCAAAAGTATAGAGATAAGAAAATTTGAGTTCGTAAGGTCTGGAAGTACAAAACCTAATACAAGGGCTGGAAGTATAAAATGTAAAAATGTTTAAAAAACCTGATACGAGGGCTGGAAGTACAAAATGTAAAAATGTTTGAAAATCTGATACAAGGGCTGGAAGTACAAAATGTAAAAATGTTTGAAAACCTGAAACAAGGGCTGGAAGTACAAAATGTAAAAATGTTTGAAAACCTAATACAAGGGCTGGAAGTACAAAATGTAAAAATGTTTGAAAACCTGATACAAGGGCTGGAAGTACAAAATGTAAAAATGTTTAAAAACCTGATACAAGGGGTGGAAGTACAAAATGTAAAAATGTTTGAAAAACCTGATACAAGGGCTGGAAGTATAAAATGTAAAAATGTTTTAAAAACCTGATACAAGGGCAGGACGTACAAAATGTAAAAATGTTTGAAAAACCTGATACAAGGGCAGGAAGTACAAAATGTAAAAATGTTTGAAAAACCTGATACAAGGGCTGAAAGTATAAAATGTAAAAATGTTTGAAAAACCTGATACAAGGGCTGGAAGTATAAAATGTAAAAATGTTTGAAAAACCTGATACAATTGCTAAAAGTATAAAATGTAAAAATGTTTGAAAAACCAGATACAAGGGCTGGAAGTACAAAATGTAAAAATGTTTGAAAAACCTGATACAAGGGCTGGAAGTATAAAATGTAAAAGTGTTTGAAAAACCTGATACAAGGGCTGAAAGTATAAAATGTAAAAATGTTTGAAAAACATGATACAAGGGCTGAAAGTATAAAATGTAAAAATGTTTGAAAAACCAGATACAAGGTCTGGAAGTACAAAATGTAAAAATGTTTGAAAAACCTGATAAAAGGGCTGGAAGTATAAAATGTAAAAATGTAATACGTCTACAGTCCCTTTAAATACGTCCACAGTCCCTTTAAATACGTCTACAGTCCCTTTGAATACGTCTGCAGTCCCTTTAAATACGTCTACAGTCACTTTAAATACTTCTACAGTTTTTAAATACGTCTACAGTCCCTTTAAATACGTCTACAGTCCCTTTAAATACGTCTGCAGTCCCTTTAAATACGTCTACAGTCCCTGTAAATACGTCTACAGTCCCTTTAAATAAACAGTTACAAGTGGAAATAAGATAAGCTTATTTGTAAAAAACATCTAAATTATCAATGTCTACAGATTCATGTAAACAAAAGTTGTCCAATGTCCATGCACCGCAACAAGAATATGACGTTCAGAGTTTGAAATTTAGTAAAGCAGTAAGATAACGGAGGTGTCATTTACATAACGTTGAAAATTTTCAAAACGTTGATTTTTCTTATCCTTTTTAAATATGATTTATCAACATATTTATAAACTGTTGATTAGAGAAGAAATTTATTAACAGTTTTTATTTTCTTAGTAAAGCTTAAAAAGAGTCATCGCGAAAAATGAAAGGGGGCTAGCATCGAAAAATATTCAATGGTGATCGCTTACTTACTCTTACTTACTAATCTATCTGTTGCTATAAAGAGAAAATTGTTAGCGTCCATAGTCATACAAATTCTGAAAATTGCAAGATTCGACTCGGATCGTAAAAATGAATTTAATTTCAAATAAAACATTTAAATATCCTATAATCATCGATTTTTTTCAACGCATTCATATAAAGTTGATATAATATTTCATAATATATTTTATTTGTTTTATATACGATGCACTCAATTGAAGTTTTTTTGTTCGCCAGGTGTCTCTGCCACGTGGAACCACAGAAACATCGAGAGCATCGTCGTTTAAATTGCATCTTATATAAAACAAATAAAAAATATTATGAAATATCAACTTTATACGAATTCGTCGAAAACATAATCGATGAATATAGGTTGTAATATTTAAATGATTTGTTTTGAATTAGTTTTTTTTACAATCCGAGTCGAATATTGCAACTTTCTGAATTTGTATGGACGCTTCGTTTTTTGGTATGAGTCGTTTATAACAATTTTCTCCTTGTAGACAAAACAAATAAATGTAAGATTAGTACCGATCACCATCGAATATTTTTTGACGTAAGCCTATAATTTTTCGCGAACGCCCCCTTTAAACCTTTTTATGCATAAATTTTATAAATTATTGATAAGAATTGAAAAATAAAATCAAAAGTTTTATTTTTCAAGTGATTTTCATTTGCAAAACTTTGATCTCCGTATCTCACAAATAAATAATATTTTAATAGACAATAAAATGAGATTTCATCAAAATAATCCCTACTTGCCAAAGTACGGGCCGCCATCTTTTTATACGCTGTATCTTAAAAATTAGTATATAAAACAGAACTGGGAACTTTTGAGATTGATATTCTTAACCTTGAAATACACTGTGAACACTTTTGATTTTCTGCTTAATCCTCTCTTTTGGATATTCCTGCTTAGTTCCAACTAAAAGGAGTTCTTTTTTAAATTGCTCGCAAAATTTTTTGGCTTTGGATTGGTCGTTCGGTTTCTATAAACGGCACTCATTGGTTAAAGTTTAGACACTTTCCTAAATATCAAATAAAGATTAGATTAATCTGCAGATTAACAAAAAGAGGAGATCAAAATTTGATGTCGTTATTGACAATTTACAAGAGTATCCAGCTCAGTTAAAATAGTTTCCTTCATAATAAACAAAATTAAACTAGGAAAAATACAGTTAAATACTTCCGAATATATAATATATATATTAATGCAGAATTCATCTTGGAAATCTCAAAATTATGAGAAAATCGTACATATAGAGTCCAGACTGGTTTAAACATTTTCATTCATTTTCAAGACTGGGTCAACTTTAAAGTGTCTCAACGCCTCGGCCTTTAATTTTATTTTTATTTTGTAGCCACACACATATACATTTCAGAACTTCAAAAGAGCTGTTTTTAGCTTTAGTTTTTAAGAATTAATTGGCAAAATTATCATAGTTTTTTGGTGAGATCCTTTGGATTCCTGTCATCGCGTTTCATGCTTTTACCATCTTGAGAAGGGTGTTTTTAATAGCTGCTTGAATCTCAATGGTCTTACAGCTTTCATATGCTTTGTTATGTTTGACGTCCTGAATTTTAAAAAGTCGCCTTTTTTAATGTTTATTGCACTCTGCAATTCCGTGGAACTTCAGAACCATTTTTTTAGCTAAGAATATTTATATATTCAAATACACTTCTTTCTTATACATATAATTCTTTTTTAACGAGGAAAGAAAATAATGTTTTTTATTGTTGAAGGAATAGTTCAATGTTCACCCATAGTTCACGGTGTTTCACAGTTATTTAGGTATTTTTAAAGGGGTTAAACTAAATAAAATCACTTTATTTTACGCTGGATTCTTTATATAAAAAGCTTTTTATTTGAACAATCCAAAAAAATGATAAATATTTTTAAACATTTCTGCCTTCCCCAGACAAAATTCACAACATGTTTCCTTTCCATTCAGCAGCATTTATAAAATATTTCGTTTAGATTTTGACAATGTTGATGTTATTGAGTAAATTAAAGTTGAATTGTAATATGAATCTCCTGTCATATCAATACCACAAAGTTGGCAAACCAAATTTTAGAAATGCCAGGACTCGCGAAATATTGAGATTATTTCTTTTTAATCGAAGACGATCTTTATCTCGAGTCTCTCAACCATCAAGAGCAGAGACACCCTGTATAAGCTCATTGAACTTGTTCTCTATATAAAAATTGCATGCTATTTAGATATTTATAAACTTGCAAAGTCACAGAACAATGCATGCATGCCAATAATTAGAATAACTCCTACCTTCTCAACCTCAAGTCAACAAACTCGTATCAAACATCCACAAAATGTATATTTATGTACATTGTACAGGGTGTCCTCTCTAAACATGGCGGTTAAGCGACACAATAAAGATCGTCTTTTATCTTTAAAATATTTTGCGGGATTTCTTCCCAGACCTACTTTTACAAGTATTATTCTTGAAACAATTTGATCACAAAACAGCTGTATGTCTTGTCATTTCCAATATGTGGTCGGACCTTTGTTTGCAGGGAGGGAGGGAACCCCCGGACGCCATGAGCCTCCGCTATGCAGACACGAGCCTCCCAGATTTGCTAGGCAGACCGAGCCTCCAATATACAAACCAAGTATCTGCTATGCAGACCAAACCTCCGGTATACAGAACTTGCCTCCGCTAAGCAGTAAACGAGTCTCCATGCATTATACGGCACAGCTTTCTTAAAATCTTGGTTTTGAATGTGTAATGAAAAATTTGAACATATTTTTTTTACGTAGTGGCAAAATAATTTTACTAAAGATTAGAGTTATTTAAGATTGTCATGATTAGAAACATATATGGACTCATAAAGTGGTTTATAAGATTTAAACTAAAACTTTAAACATTTCTTACGCAAAAAGGAAGATATTTGAAGTAATATTTCTGGAGTAAATTTAGTTTGTTTTGTTATAATCTTTGACTGAAACAGTACCTATTTTGAAAAATGTTAAAATTTAAATAAATAAATTATTTATG